TGGGCCTGTCCTTACGGACAAATAAGGATGTTTCTACTGTGGGATAATGCACCTGCCTATTTGGTGGCTTGCTGTAAACAAAACCAAAGAGGAGGCAAGAGGGGTTTGGGTTTACTCCAAGGTAAACTAGGCAGAGCTGAAAAACCTGGGGCACAGCTAGGAAACCATTGAAAGACTTGCCAGAGACAGGCGGGCATGGGGGAGCTTTCTCGTTGCCCTAACGTTGTACTAATCAAATGAGGCGAGAACCCCCTCCCCCACTGCCCGAGAGAGGATAATTGCTGACGTTGCCTAGCTACCTCATGGTAATTGCAACAAGTAGCTTTTCTCTGCTTAGGAGTCTCATGTTTTTTAATCACACCGTGAAAACCAACCCATCCTTTTCAGCGGCAAAGACAGAGTCTGTGTAACCCACACACTAGCTATGTCTAGACTGCAGGTTTCTTTCGGAAGAAGCTTTTCTGGAAGAGATCTTCCGAAAAAACTTCTGAAAGAGAGCATCCAAACTGCAAAAGTGCATCGAAAAAGTGATCTGTTTTTACGACAGATAGAGTCCACACTGAGTAGACGCTGTCTCGCATGTAAGCTGTGATTACTATGGGCGGAATGGCCACCAGGGCACCTGTGCTTTTTCCTCTTTCCTCTTCTTTCGAAAGAACTCCCTCTTCCCCGTCCACACACACCTTTTTTTGAAAGAGCTCTTTCGCAAAAAGGTTTCTTCTTCATAGAGGTTTACCAACTCCAGAAAAACTCCTCTGTTCTTTCAATTTACTTTCAAAAGAACATGATTGCAGTGTGGACGTTTCTCAGGTTTTGTCAGAAAAATAGCTGTTTTTCCAACAAAACTCTGTAATGTAGACCTAGTGTGGTTCACTGTACCATGCAGTGGCACTTAGAGTGAGAGATAAGAACAAGGGAATGCTACAGCCTAAGACAGTGTTTCTTAAACTGTGTTCTGCGGCACACCGGTGTGCAGCGAGGCAGTCGGAGGTGTGCCACGGAGAACAACAGAGTTCAAAATGGCCACCCTTAAAGGGGCAGGTGATTTTCTTTTTTCTCATAAAAAAATTATTGTTTGATGTTCCTCGGTCTTAAAAAGTTTAAGAAACGCTGGCCTAAGCTGAAAGCCAGCTGGCTTTATCTCTGTAGTGACTGCTACACTAAGCTTCAGAGGTCCCAGTTTCAAATCTACCCGGTGCTGGATACATCTGCAGGGCAATATGGGCCTTGCTCCATTTAGGATTTCACAATGTGACTGCCAGCCAAGGGGAGGCAGGAATCAGATCCCCCGATGATCCTCTCATGGCAATGCTCCCCCCCTGCTCCAAGTGGCTCTTTCATCCCTAAAAGTGCCCCACCCATGACATATGGTCATATACACAGATTTTATCATGCTCCCCTGGTGGACACTCATCAGGCTGCTGGGCCGTACACTGCTCTCCCTTTGGCTTCTCCAGCTCCTTGGGTAAAGACTCCCTGTCTCAGTTCTCCTCCCCAGAAGTGACACACTATAATCCAGGCACTCTCTACCTCCAGCCTGCCTGTTCCCAGAGCCCGCATCCCCCAAAACTGCTCTGGTTTACAGTTTAAAGCTCTGGGGACAAGGGACTGTTACAACCAGGAATTCAGAGGCTTTGCAAAGCAACTACTTCAACACCTGCACACGTTATTAATAAAGACACTTAAAACCCTTCCAGTATCGCGTGGAGTGTTGTGTCCAGTTCTGGGCACCACATTTCGGAACAGACGTGGAGAAATTGGGGAGGGTCTAGAGAAGAGCAACAAAAATGATGGAAGGTCCAGAAAGCATGACCTGTGAAGGAAGACTGAAAGAATTGGCCTACATGAGGGACATTTTGCAGTGTTATGCTTGGGCCTGCCCTGCATTGGGTTAGAGAATATGGAGGTATGGAGAAAGTGAACTAGGAAAAGTTATTTACTTATTCCCATAGCATAAGAACTAGGGGACACCCATCAAAATTAATAGGCAATAGATTTAAAACAAACAAAAGGAAGTTTTTCTTCATGCAGCGCATGAAAAGTGCTATAGACGTGAAATGAATTATTACTTGAACCCAGAGCAAAGTCACATCTCTGTGTTTATGACATTGCTGCCTGCTAGTGTGGCCACTCATGCACTCCCACAATACTGGACATTCCAGTAATGTCCAGCACCGGTGTGGACCTGTCCCCATTGGTATGACCACACTGGCTGTCTTAGATCTGTGTGAGAGGTCACACATTCCACATTGTTAGCTCACTCAATGGGATCCTGAATGGGAAAATGTGAATGGAGGAGGCAGGGCAGGGAGGAGAAAACAAATCTATTTGATAACTGTCAAAATTGCAAAGTGAATTCTGAACCCCCCCTCCCAAAAAAGCTTCTTTACAATCCATCATCATAAATGTAATGTGATATTTAGGGTCAGATTTCATCCAGATCCTGCACTATGGAACTCTGCATTGTGGAAAAATCTGTTTGTCTGAGCTGTTGACATGTTGCTCTGCAGGCAATAGATGTAAGCTTGATGGTATCTAGTTGTCCGTCCTGATGCTCCCACAGGTGTTATATTTTCCCTGTGATTATTTGCCATTTTTGGCCACATACTCTATTTTCCCGCAGTGGTTTTAATTTAAGTCTGCTCCGGTTAATTTCCAGCTCACATCCTGCAAGAGGAGATCCACAGTCGTAAGATGTGACTGTCTGCACTTGACCAGGCCAGCAACACAGATTGCTGAAACAAGTAGCCCAGCGTGGGATGAGTAGGCAGAGCCTGGTACAGATACGAAATGTGTATCCACAGTTGATCTGTAATCCACACACACGGTCGGTGGATATAAAGCTGATTTGCAGAGTTAGACCAATAGGGTTAGTGCCTACCTCTGAACTATTTGGCATTGGATTAAGTGGTGCTTAGATGGGAATAAAACAGAGGTCCTGCCCATCACAAAGCAATTTATACCAGAGCAAGCTGCCCTTGCCAAAATTCAATGCTATGAGCAATGTTCTCTATTCTAATGTTTTTCCATCCATGCGTGGAATAAATTTTGTTATGTGCACCAAGGCAGGTGCTTATGTGCACCACCAAAAGAAACACATGCTGCCTTCTGTGGGCACTCTGCTAACCAGCTAGGCGGCACCTGCATCTCTCCTGAGAGGCCGCCCAAGAGCACAAATGACAGGGAACACAGGCTGGGAGGGGTCTGCCCTTGCAAATGTCCCATGAGCTTTGCTAAGCGATTGCACTCAGACGCTTTACAGAAAGCAGCTGCAGTTCCCCATTTGCCCCCGTAGGTGGCAGTGTGGTGCACTGGGACGACCAGCGGCTGCAGAGACCAGCCGGCCGTTCTTTATCACGTGATGAGGGAATAGCGCGTAACCCGTCACGTGCTGAGGCAGGTCGCCGCCTCCGCGCGCCTTGGTGTGACGTAGCAGGCTGTCGCCCTGCGCGGACTAATATCCCGGCATCCCCTCCCGGACCCGGGGGGATGGAACAGGGGGAGCCCGGGCTCCCTTCAGGACCGGGTCTGGCGGAGGGAAACAGTGGGGGCTAGGCCCGCTGGGGACGGGGACTGGCGGGTCCCGGGGAGAGGGGGTGGTTTGAGGCTGTGCAGAAGGGGGGCGTCTTAGGTATTGGGGGTTGGTGGACAGGGAGGGGGCATTGGAGTGTCCGTAGACGGGTTGGGGGGACTTTCAGGGTGAGGCTTAGCTTAGAAGGGGGGGTGCTAAGCCCCACGTGGATGAGAAATTAGGGTCGAAATAAACTGCCCCAGAGTGCAACCCCAGTTTTTGGGGGGGGGGGACTCTTAAGGATCGTCTCATGGGTGGAAACTGCTCCTTGTGCCTCTGTATGCAAGAGGAGCAACAAGCCCTGTAAGCGAGAAGGAAACAGCAGAGAGATGCGCCGCTTTCCTTGGGCTGAGCCATGTGTATGATGCCTGTATGCAACAGGGAGAGGCGGATTAAAATGCCGTGGTCTGAACGGAGTGTTTTAAATGGCATTTTTTAAAATATGGCCGGTTTAGATGGGGATTGAGACTGCTTGGATAATTGAGCTACTGCAGGTTTAAATTAAAACTTTTATAACCAAGTGAAAGGTCAGTCTCTGCACTCTTTAATAATACCCTGCTGGAAGGGGATTTTATTTGCCTAAATCAATCCGCAATTCAAAACAACGGTGAGGGTCCTGATGGTGCAAATGTTTGAACAGGTGTGTAGCTTTATTTGCATGCATAATAAGCATTTGCAGCCTCAGAGGCTACGATTGTAGTTTCATTAAACATTTCTCTTTCTGTAAAATCTTTGCCATTATTATTGGTAGTGGTGGATAATTACTTAGAATTTCAGTATGTAAATAAAGCTTTTGTGAGTTTTTCTTAATACACCCAAGTGAAAATTAATAGCCCCAAATTAGGTGCAACTTTAAGTGCTTGTAGTTGGGATTTTCAGAAGCACCTAATAGATTTAGTAGCTTCAGTTCCTGCTGGAGGAGTGTAAAGTGGTCGAATATTCAGCGTACTTGGCTTGTTGGAGTCCCATGTATCAGAACGTGGTTTAAGTTACAAACATGGAACTGGTTATTTGCTTAGCAATTTTGTGTTTGGGTTTGTGTTCTCATAGTAAAGGTGTTAATATGAGGCTAGCAGAGATGAACAGTTTTAAGGGTAAAACTTAGTGGGGAAAATAACCCTGTAATTTCCACATACATTTCACCAACAGTTAGGAAAGTAAAGAGAAAAACCAGAAAACACACACTTTAGATTATAATGTAGAAAAAGTAAAGAACTGGTAGCATGTAAGTAAAAACGTGATTCGCTTTTTAAAAATAACTTTAGATAAAATCATGGTATAAATAAACCAGTGAAATAATTCATATTATCCCTGGCATAGGAAAAAAATCACAAATTTCAATTTGAAAACCTGTTAAATTCCATTCCGGATGGTCTTACTGGCTTGTGAATCAATGTTTAAAGAATATGTCTTTTCTTTTTAACCTACAGGACGTGGTGGTTCGTCCGGTGCGAAATTCCGTATTTCCCTGGGTCTTCCTGTGGGAGCTGTGATCAACTGTGCGGATAATACAGGTGAGTCTGTGGCTCCTTTCTGGAGTCAGTATCACTTGCTTCTGCTTCAGCATCCCTTCTGCCTTGTCTGTGTATCTGGTTAGCGTTTGTATAGGTAACTGACAAATAGAAATCAGGGCTTAGAAGTTGAAGCTAGACAAATTCGCACTAGAAATAGAGAGAGGTTTTAACTGTGATGATAATAAAACAACTAGGTGGACTCTCAATCATTTGGAGTCTTTAAATAAGACTGGCTATCTCTGAGAGAGATGCTTTAAATCGGTAATGGGGAACCTGCAGGCCACATTCAGCCTGCAGTTTGTCTTGATCCAACCCGCAAAGCTTGGGGCTCCCCCCGCCCCCTTTCCTCCCTGGAACTGGACCAGGTAGGTGTCCCAACCCCCTACTGCTTCACCCACACCTCAAACTTCTGTGCCCTACCTCCTATCCAGACCCAACATCCCCAGCCAGCTCCCTAGCATTCCCTCCCATGCACTGAACCTCTTGTTTTTGTCCTCACCCAAAATCAGCGCAGGAGGTGGGGGGGGTGTTCAAAATCTGTTCAGCCTGGTCCCCCTAAGCTTGAGGATAATGAGATGAATGTCTTTTTTCTTTCTCGGGGTGTTCAAAATCTGTTCAGCCTGGTTCCCCTAAGCTTGAGGATAATGAGGTGAATGTCTTCTTTCCTTTCCTCTCCTCTCACTCTCAGTTGGGGGCTACATTGGGGAGGGATGTGTGTTGCTCCTTGCTTGTGTGGCTCCCAACTAATTTTTCTATGGCTCAGTGACCTCAACCCAAAAGGTTCCCCACTCCTACTTTAAGACAAAGAGAAATTATGGGCTTGACACAAGTTACTGGATTACCCTAGGAATCAGACTAGATGATCAAGATGATTTATCCTGGCCTTAATGTCTGTGTATCGATTAACCTGCTTCTGTAGAATTTCAACTTCTTGCTCAATGGTGCTAAAAAATTGCATCCTACCTCTGAGGCAGCAGTAGCAGCTTCCCCCTTCTGAAAAGCACTTGCTGGGTCTGTGCTCAGTGACTCAGGGAGTTGTCGTGGAAGGGCATAAGAAAGTCATCGCTTTTGGGTGAGGTGGCGGCATGTGCTGTTCACTTCAATGAGTGATGGGACAGTGAACCGTTTGAGGACATCTGTGGTGAGTTGGCTAATTCAGGATGTTTTTCTCCTGTAGGAGCCAAGAACCTGTACATCATCTCCGTGAAGGGGATTAAGGGCCGCCTGAACCGGCTGCCAGCTGCTGGTGTAGGCGACATGGTGATGGCCACTGTCAAGAAGGGCAAGCCTGAGCTCCGGAAGAAGGGTGAGTGTTGGCATTGCAGGTAGCCAAGTTACAGCCTGTTCACACAGTGTTCCAAGGACTGCTCTGTGGGTATTTTCTGTAGACATGCTATGGTGTAGGATTGAGAGCTTGCCCAGATTCCCCACAAGGCAGTGCTGCAAATATGATTTTTTGTGGGAGAGAGAGGTGGGAATACTTTCTGGACACAACTGGGTTTTGTTTGTCACAAGGTATGACACAGAATGGGTGCACAGAGATGGCTGTATGTGTGGAGTACGCAGGGTCCTAACCTTGGTGTAGGACAATCACAGCTTAGCAGTGCATTCCCAAGGCACAGTCTCATCAGGCTTCCATCCACTGTGGGACTTAATGGCTTCTGGTCATCTCCCCTTCCTTGTGGAGATGGAAAGGCAGCCTGTCCGTGTGGGAGAAGCAAGGCAGTTTTCAATGTACCAAGAGGGATGCTAGAAGTAGGCAGCCTGTCTCTGAAGCAGCAGTTTCCCCCTTCTGAAAAGCACTTGCTGGGTCTGCTCCGTGGCTCCGTGAGTTGTCGTGGAAGGGAATAGCAAAACCTCACTTTTGGGTGAGGTTAGCAGCAACAAGTGCTGCTAACTTCAATGAGTGGCGTGACAGTCCTGAAAGTTCACATATTAGTCGTAAGTGTTTGGAGAAGGGGCTTCCCTGTTGGATGTTTCTGTGAGGAATGACCTTGCATCTGGAAACGTGGCATGGGTTAGCTTACAAAAGATAAGTGCTACTGAATATTGTATTGGACTAGCTTTTATTTCAACGTAATGATAAATCACACCGACTGACAGAGCTGGATTTTCTCTACCAGCATGACAAATGCATGCTCAGCAGAGAAGCGGTCTTAGCCCTCCTGAAACTGAATGTTGAAGACTTGAGATCAGCATAAGTGGGCAGGGCAGGATTTAAGGTGGAAACCTGCTTTAAATACTTGTTGTAAATGTAGTTCTGGTGAAAGGATTTGACTTGATAGGCTGGGAAGCTTTGCTCACCGAGCAGACAATAGCCAGGAAGACTGCTCCCACCTGAACCCTACTCTTCACGGTTTGTTGCCCATCCAGACCTCGGCTTCTCACCTGAGGCTGTCAACAAAAACATTTGTGACCTGGATGCTTAGTGGTATGAGTCCCAGAAGCCAGGGATAGTATAAACTTTGGTGACTGTGACGGAGTGGGGGTACTTGCTGGGCTGTGGTGACCTCTGCTGTCTGGAGCAAGACCCAGCCGGGAAAACCTTATTGTGCAAAGGTGACTCCATACTGGTTGAACCAGCCAACCCCCCATGGAGAGAAACAAAGGGAGGTGGAATGCTGTCCTGGCTGGGGGCAGGGCTGGGAGAGGGGGAGTGAGTTCCTGACTGGAAAGCAGGGAAGAAGGAACTGGAGAGGGGGCTGGGATCCCCCCATCTCAAGGGGGCACTGAGGCCTCTTAGCCCCAGTTCCTGTAACCAGATTACATCTGTGCTGTGCTGTGTCCTGGAGGAGCAATAAACCACCCTCAATTCTACTGGCTGGTGGAGTCTGTTTGTGCCATTTCGGGGTGCAGGAGACGGAGGACCCCCAACGCGCCGTCACAGTGACTAGTCCCATATAGCATGCAACCTTTACAGGGACCATAATCCCATATACCATCAAGGGGGTCGTTGCGGCTTTGCAAGAGTAGGGCTCAGATGAGGACTCTTACTTTTGAGCATGGAGTTACCACTTGGGTGATTTAATTTCTTCTTTTGTGCTGTTTTTGGAAGTTTAGGATCCTGAGCTTGTCTTTCTCCCTGCAGTGCACCCGGCAGTGGTAATTCGGCAGCGGAAATCGTACCGGCGAAAAGACGGGGTATTCCTCTATTTTGAAGACAATGCGGGAGTGATAGTAAATAACAAAGGGGAAATGAAAGGTACAGGCGGCAATCTATTATTACATTAGCCAAGAGCAAACTAGAACAGCCCAGCACAAATGTCTGCATTCCTGGATCCAGGGAGGGTATCGCTGTCTTCAGGCAGAAGAACCAAAACTCCCCTTAGTGCCAGGAGTGCAGTGCCCTGGAAAGTTGGTATCCTGAATGCTCCAGCAGAGAAATACTGGTGTTTCTATTGCTAATATGTGACATGCTGCCTGAACAGAGCTCTGACTAGTACTTAACTTCTCCTTTTTCTTCCCCGCTCTTACAGGCTCAGCAATCACAGGCCCTGTGGCGAAGGAATGTGCAGATCTGTGGCCTAGGATAGCTTCCAACGCTGGCAGCATTGCATAAACCTGCTCCATCCTCATTATCAAGATACAATAAAAGTGATTGCACCAAAGTTCCCAGTGTCTTTTTCGATACTGTAAAGCTCGGAACACCTTCCTGACAAACCTGTCTAGGGGCTGCTAGAATGAGTGTGGCTGCATAAGGAAAGTTTATCCCTCGAGCTGTAGTTCTATAGGTAAAAAGCCCATTGCGGACTTTTTTTGTTTAAACTCCTTCCTAAGCAACACAAACTGAAATATACGAAGTCTCTCTAGTACACCAGCACCTCAGAGTTACAACGCCAGAGTTACAAACTGACCTGCCAACCGCACACCCCTTTTGGAACTGGAAATACACAATCAAGCAGCAGGACAGACTGGGAGAGGGTGGGGAATAGCCAATACAGAATAGTACTCTGTTAAACATAAACTACTAAAAAAAGGAAAAGTCCAAGTCTTTTTTTATTTAAACAAGGAAAGTGTTTCTGTGCTTGTTTCATTTAAATTAAAATGCTTACATCGTATTTTTCTTCTGCATGGTACAAGTTTCAGGAGTGTATTAAGTCGGTGAAAGAGCAAATGTGACATTGTGTTCAGATTTACAAACACTTCAGGTTTATGAACAACTGCCATTCCCAAGGTGTTTGTAATTGTGAGGTTTTATTGTATCGGAATAAAAGTTTCTAGAAGGAAGTTATACTGGTCCCAGTTTAAAAACCAGCTCCCTTCATGGACCAGCTGCCTGCCACCCCAGCTGCTTCCTCTGGTACAGAGGCAGCAGCACAGGGTGGCAGCAGCTCCTGTCTGCAGGTGGTCCTAGCTCCCCTTGGACAGGGGCTGCTCTGTGGGATGTGGAGCAGCTTCTGTCCCCAGGGAGCTCAGACCACCTGTGAACAGGAGCTACTGAGAAGCAGCCTCTACCTGCCCCAAACCCCTGCTGCCTCCCCCCAGCACCAAACCTAAGCCTGGGTTTATCAGTTAATCGCCTAGTCGGCTACTTGTTGACATCCCTAATTGCTATTTGCTTACAATCACACCTTGATATATACCAAGCTGCTTTCTTTAGACAAGACCTGAGGCTGCAATAGGAATACTGCATCTTGTCAAAAGCTGAGACTTATGCACCAGCAGGTGAAATAACTCATGACAGTGACTTCCTTTACACTTCAGCCCTGCCTGATTTTTGTAGGTTTGGCAATGTAAGATGTTCATGATAGAGAAACTTTGTGAGAAAAGCCTTGTTTGAGTTTGAGGCTACATTGGTTGGTTATTGTCTTGTGCTGATGGCAAGTTCACTCTGGAAAGGGACTCTCTGATTTAAGGCACATGTAATGCGGCCAAGGGCACAGCAGAACCCAGCTCTGTCGGATGGACAGGTGCTATGAAGCTTGATGGTGAATGAAAATGCTTCTTTTGACAAATAATGTCACATCACACATAGGGATGTTAAAATTAGATTAATCAACTAATTGAATAGTTGATGGAATTTCCATTGACTATTTGATTAGTCAATAAGGGTGCTTCTGCTTTCAAATGTAGCAAGAACCCGTGTGGTAGCCCAGCAGGGGCTCTTGTGCATTTCAAAGATTGAAATGCCCTGTGGAGCTTGGGGCCAGCAGGGAGTCAGTCCGTCATCTGTCCCCGTTTCCTCCCTCTCCCCCTCGGGTCCCTCCACTGACTCCAGGCTCCAAGTGGCACCCACTTTGAAATGTACAAGAGCCCTAGTAGGGGCTCTTTGGTATTTCACAGGTGGAATGCTGCTGCTGCTTAGGAAGCTGGGGGGAACCAGCTTTTAAGCCAGCTCCCCCCAGCACTCCTTCTTCCTCTCCCCCCCCCCCCTCTTGCTGCCTCTTTCTGATAGAAGCGGTGGAAGCAACCAGTCCATTAGTCACTTACATCCCTAATCACAAACAGATACAGGGAGACATGAATTCCGAATACCTTTGAAGAATGAACTGATGGGCTTCCTACTATTTTGAAGCTTAGGCTTCCAGTGGTCAGGGTAAAGCCTGTTGCAGAAGGTGACACCGCCTCCTACATGGTAGAGAGGGGTGCAGTCTTTATGCTGGGTTATGAGCCATATTACTGCACTTCTGTTTTGTTTTGTTTTGTGCTAAGCACAGAAGTGGAAGTGCGATGGGATGGAATTGCAAATAAATCCATTTTCTGTCCATGCCAGTGTAGAGGTGGGGGGTGGGTTAACCCATATGCTTAGGCAAACCCCAAGGCCTTGAAGGTTTGGGGTGTTAATGCTTATGGAGTGGACGCTCACTAGTTAATAGGTTTTCCATCAGTGTTGCACACCCCTGAAAACCTTCCCAACGTTGAGCCAAGTGCTGTTGTATTGACCTAGGTGCATTTATAGTGTGTGTGGGAGGGGAGGGGGGGGGTTATATCCACATAGCTACTTGATCACAGGTGGGATATTTTCACCCCACTGACTCCTAGTTATGCTGACTTTTCAGCCGGCTTGCTTGGAGCAGGGATGGGGTGGGGTTTCCTCCTCTCATTAAGCATTTAAGGCTTCACGTTTGGATCTTTACCATGACGGGGGAGGGGAGACACAAAATCCTTTAGTCAAGTTGAACCGCACAAGACGCCCCTGCAAGTCTGGCGTTTGGAGAGCTGTGTAGCTTGCTCCCTGCAAGATCTGGACCGAAGCCAGCTGGTTCTAGCCCGGGCTGCTTTTCGCGGCTGTCAGCTTCAGGGGTAAGAAGGCCCCTCCTTGCGCTCTAGCCGCCTGCTGTCCCTAGAAAGGCAGCGGCAGGCACCCGTGCGCTGGACCGGGCTGCAGGGGGCGGCTTGGACGTCTCGCCCGCATCGCCCCACTACCCGCAGCTGGCTCCCAGCTGAGCCCCACGTGGCAAGAGGGAGCGACGCCCCTGGAGCCAGGCCGCTTTGCATTGCAGCGGGGGCTGGAGATGGGAAGGGGTTCAGGAGCAGGGCAAATGGGCGAGTCTTGGGCCCCTCCCAGCTGGGGCGGGGAGCTGCTCTGCAGCCAGCTGTGGGGGGCGGCGCTGGCACGTAACAATGCCGGCAGCGGGAGGGGGGGTCACAAGGGCCCGAGTCTGA